TTTGTGGGTCATCCTGGTCCAATTTGGCACATTAGTGCTAAGAACAGAAAATGTGTCTTTATTTGGACACACTACCCAATAATTTTTCTGCGTGCACGAGGAGACGACAAAGCTGCGGCAAACCGCGCCTTGTTCTTTCGAAAGCGCGAGGCGGTGGCAGGGCGAGAATGACGCAATGGAACATAGGGTCTTGCCTCAGCTTTCATTTCAGTTATCTAAAAGATTAGTTTTTATTTCTTTTATGTAGCATAACGCCTGTTAGTGAGACACTAACTATTATAGTACTATTTTAGTAACACACAATACAAATTACTTCATAATCGTAAACTCATGAACGATGGACTTTCCGTAAGTAACTAATGATTACCAAAATATCAAGTCCCAGGACCATGAGATAGTTGTACAATGAATCATATTTTAAAAGAGTACGAAAAAAAATGATAAGAATCCACCAGTTACGATAAAGTTAGTGGGCTTCGTTCCAATAAGTTCTTAAATAAAAACAAACTTGAGTTATTGCTTAGAAGCAGAGCTTCAAATTTATCTTTCCCGGAGTGATCGAACTCGAAGAAATTCACAAAGGTGTAATATTGTATTGAACTATAAATATAGAATAGTACTGTGTTACGATAGAAATAAAAAAAAAATAACTTAATTAAAATTTATCTGCCTTTTGCGAATTTTCAAAAGAACTCAGAAGTTGAATCAGCTACTTAGCTAATGGGACAAGAAAGGTTTCTTCAGAACTAACCGCTTGCATCTGCTTAGTCTTCATATGCTATTGCGTACTGCTACGCAACAGTTTTAATATTAACCTACAGCGCTGCAGGCTTCAGTATGCATTGCATTGATTGCAATACTGTAAATCGAAATGAAAGAACAAATTGCTTTTGATATTCATTTCTTTCAAATTGAAGTAAATTTTTACAAATTCATAATAAAGTATTTCTGTTTAGAATAAATCATGACCGTATATCACCTGGAAGAATAGTCCAATTGCACTTATTCAATCCTTAGTCAGTAACAAACGCGCGAGTGAACGGGAATATTTGAAATATACGAACAGACAATTTTGTATATATTAGCACGTTCAAAATGAATATCATTCTATATACAGAAAAACCTAGCTTTCTTATCAACACTTTGCACTATAAAAATTTTATACAGAACATAGGTTATTGGGAGATGAATAAAGAATGAAAACAAAGAGTTTCAATAACCAGCTGTTCTCTACTGAAGGTGCAGACGCGCATGCGCACAACGCCAACGGTATCAGGCACTTATGATAACGCCACACTGACATGAGCTATCTCAACGTTGAAAAACTCGCAACTGTCAACAACTCTTTTCGATTCTCAAGAAACAAAAATCTTCACACAATACGTAAGAATTAACACAAACAGTCACAGTGAGCAGAAGTGAACTCTTCTGCGTTCTACCCGTTTGAAGGTTGGCATCATAGTGGCAACACTTCGTGTAGTGCATGCCAGGTATCGCCAGATACATACCAACATTAAACCACATAAAGACTAGATATGTTTTTATTTCAAATTATGGGTTTTAAATAGGTCACGAAGCAAATTATTGCAATAAAATCTAGAGAGAAATGAGATGTTTTACATAATGTAGTAGCATTTGCTCTTGAAGAAAAAAAATATAAGGAAATGTTCGTAACGCAATCATACATGATATAAGTCGAACGTTACTGGTGAGAGTTGAAGGAAACCTCTTTGAGGCTCCTTTAGACAGGAAATTTGCAAGTTTGAAGGATTAAAATAAAGGACATCACCGTTAACCTTAAAGAAAGAGAGAAAGCAATTTTGTAACTAGGCAGAATAATGTGGAGGATTTTCAATCGTTGGCAACTTTGCTGGTCGGACCATCATGCGGAGCGGCAAGCCGCTGTAACGTCACGTACGCAAAACATTAGAACACGTACGCAAAACACCTGGCAGAAATTTTTCTCCAGCAGTAAATTCTTTGAAAAATTAAGCATTATTTGATAGACATAAATATTTCTTTGAATTTCAAGTAACGAAGTGTTGCGCACCACTAAATGATTCCTGATACATCACTATTAAGTTTTTCTATAAGAATCGTGGATTTCCCGAAACCTAATTATTCATTCAGAAGGAGAATTCCGGCAAATGCAACAAGAAACAGTAATAAAATATTTCGACATCAGAAGTGTAGACATTCAACGTCAGCAGTATTGATTCAAAGAAATATCAAAGCCAACAAACTATTATTCAGAAGCACGTTGGGTGCTGGTGAACGGTGTGAACCCGAGTTAGGTAATTCAACTTTTCAGGGCGCACTTACACTCAAAAAGAAACAAGCAAACACGATACGATGTTTAAGTTGAAAGCAGATTTAATTCTAAACTTAATTTTCGGTACCGGTAGTGTATAACGTTTTACATTATTAAAATATGCACTTTGCACCAAATATTGAAAATAAAATTCTCATCGGATTGAGAGGAAGTTGCCAATGGTGAACTAACCATTCTAACTTTACTTTAAAGTTCAAGCGCCCTCGTAGTAATATAAAAAATGTTGAATATAGAGTAGGCAGTGAAAATCGGCGGTAGCGTCATCGGGAGAAATTGATCACAATTCAGTTAATACGGATGAAAGAAAAAAGTTCATCATAAGCAAGTTTATATTTCAAGAAGGAAAATAAAATAGAATATCAGCCCAGGGTGGCGGTAACAGTAAAATGAAAAATACAGGAAACACGTAATCGAGTTAATGAAAACTGAGAATATGGGTCGGTAATTAACTATTCCTAACTAAGCATTCTGGAAGGAAGACAGGAACCTGTGCAAGTAAATGAAGTGACAAAATAAACAAATTCGTATGTGATGCAGAACAACAAAGAGTAATAATGATGAAAGTCCTCTTTAGATCGACCCTAACACAGTTATGAGTTCACAAGCAAAAGGATACATACATCATTGAGGTCATCCTGTCCGATTAGCGACTGCTGACGCACGCAGGCATGCATATAAGTCGACTTGAACGCAACGGGTTAGACTCGTGAATGATTATCGTCATGACACATCTCAGCAGATATTGCACTTTAGTCGCCGCTCGTAAATAATACTGTAAAATACTTCTAAAAACTACGATTTGGAGGGTTTGATTACCATAAAATGAATAATAAGCTGTGGCAGTCGTGCTACAAAGTTGTGGTTCAGTTTTGTTTACAAAAGAAAAACTCGTTTCTAATGGAGGTCGGTGACACAAGTGCTGTAGCAGTGTGGACTGACTTATTTGGCATGGACGCCTGGGTTTATTCATAATTGCATTGTCTGATAATAATAATAGTATATTCATGTGCGGCATAAACTTTCATCTGGCACGAAAAACTCATTTGCAAACAAATAATTTTCGTTTGTTGTTTGATAAAATTACTAAATAATTGATATTCAGAAAATGAATATTTGAACTTCATTCAATAAGTATCAATATTTGCGCATGAGTGGAATAGTACCGTAACTCTTATGAATGAGGTTGGACATCATAAAACATAAAACAATTTATAAAAAATTACCACTCATCAATTAGCAATTGACAGGGTAATATGACGTCAATACAAATATGTACGTAGCTTAAATAAGGATGAATTGTGAGGGCAAATATGATGTCGCAGAAATGCAAAGTCACATAAATATAAGACACCTGGAATTAGGCCACAGAAAACGCGCTTCGTAACTAAACAAAGGCAAATATTGTTTCAATAGAGTCTGATAAGTTCATAAATGATATTTTGTTGAGCATGAACGTCAATGCCAAAGACAAGAATCCCATCGTTCAGAATCGTCCTCGCTGCCAGCCCTTACTGCGCACTAGACGAAAGCGCAATTTATGCTTCGGGTCAATCAACTTTTCCTCATAACACTTATTTGCATCAAAATAGAAACACGAACTGAGAAGGAGTATGGAGGAAGGAGTTATATAGGCTATTTCTCCTGTGCAATGGACACTAGCTTGACTGAAGGAAGTGGTGATGTGGCATGCGGCATCAATCGACTGGCGCTGCAGGAAGAGACGTGGCAACGTTGCTCACCAGATGAGCGTGACGTAAGAGGGTAAACAAGTGGCACGTGTGCAAATAGGGATGCTCGTCTCTCAGCAACGGCGACTAAACAAACAATATCGATACTGGTAACTAATGTTAAGAATTTCAGATGAACCTAATGATTAAAGTGAGATTTTAGAGCTGAAGTACGCACCGTAAAACCAGGAAAAATAACGCATAAGTCGACGTTAAAAGCGACAGCATACGCAAGTTAGGTAGCACCGTAAGCTAAGAGTTGACTCGTTCAACTGCTGATCTGTCACTCTGAAAATGCAGCGTCGTACATTCATCAGGCACCCATTCAAATTAATATTCCCGCCTTTCGAGTAGGAAAACACGATCAGAATTAATTCATGATAATGAACTGTCATGAGAATATAGACTCAGATGCCCTGGAAAGAACAGCGATTGTTAATGCAATTGTTCATGGCACAAACCCAAGAAACACTTATTAAATCGTTTTACCGACATAAGGCTACACCAGAAAAATCGTCACTCTAACATTTTTTAAATAATAAGTCATGTTCAGTGTAGCTAGTAGGGGACTTGAGATATTGATTGCTGGAGGCTTTTTAACAGTTGTCATCCCCAGCAGCTAACATCTCGTTACCAGGCCTTCATAGCATTAACGAAGGGTAATGTATCCGTATTTATATGGTTAAGAAGATAAATACTTTCTTAACTTAACGGAGACCGATTGAAATTAAAAATACAAGAGCAAATAAATAATTTGACAGCTGCTGGTGAGACGTCAATCGGCTCATGTTTGCCACAAGCATGTTAAGCGTTGACTACGTAAAGAATACTTACTGTGTCCTCGAGCGATGCTTCATGAAGCGAATTTCAATTTGTCCGCTCATAATGCATTTATTTTAATCTAAATTCGCGCTAACACAGTATAACTGAAGGTGACTTACCGCTCAATTCTGCTGCGTGTTCTGAATCGAAGTCGTCTGCAGCATCGATTCGTTCATCAACAGCTTCAATGTCGACTCCAGCTTCATGGGTGCCATCGGCAGGCACTTCGTCTTCATAATTTTCATCATCCCTTTTCACATCTACGAACTCTTGTTCGGACGGTGCACGTCTTACTGGTTCCTCATGTGAATCTTGTGAAAGATAGTCTTCGTAACCGAGAAGGTCGCAGGGTTCGCTTTTAGAACTCTCAGTTTGGTCCGTTATAGGAGATGGTGCAAGATTGGACGTTTCGGCGACCTCTAAGGGTTCGGTCTCATAGAAGGACGGGCTTTCGAAAGATTTGGAAGCCCCAGAAGTTCCGCATGAAATGAAATCAATGTTATCGCTTTTAGCAGGCGATCCAAGATCATAGCTCACGTTCAAATGTATAACAGTTTCGAGCAGAGATTTAGGAATCTCGTTAGAAGTTAACGTGGTCGAACATGGCTGGTCAGACGTGGATATGTTCTGTATGAACTCGCGATCAATACCTGCATCTCCAGTAAACATCCTTAGGTCGGGAATAAGTAACGAGGTTTGGTTGATGGCACCATCTACTTTCTGTTTCTGAGAGATAAAGTTATTAAACTTTAAGTCGTTATCTTCGAAGATATTCTGAGGATTAATTTTACGACAGGTCTTACAGCTAAAACCTGCACTACTTTCACCACATATGCAGGATGAAACATCGCTTGATTTCGCTATGGATTTGGCCATTTCAACGTTTTCAACTAAGGAAGGCAATTGCTGATAAACAGGTCCAGTATTGATGGTGTAAATATCATGGATGCAGGGATTTTCAGGCAATTGCACAGCTACAAGTTCAGAGAAACTGGGCGCTTTTAATAAACCATTGAATGTTCTGGATGGTTTCTCACTGGGAAATTCGATGTTCAGATCAGAAAGAGATTTTGACCGTACAAAATTTGTTTCCTCCTTCAAGTCAGAAGTAAGCCTAGCGCTATTGGTAAGCGATACCAGGGAACTAAACGAATCGTTTGGAGGAATATCAGACATAATCACGAGAAGGAACCTGTGAAGGAAATTAATTAAATTTTTTCATACTTGAAGTGAGACATTCTGAACACAAAATGGTGAACTAATGTGCGAAACAAAGAGCTAAGTAAAAGAAAAGAATGTGCTTGGCCACAAAACAACGTTAGTGTTAAGAATGTAGTACCTAATTGGCTGGCAGTAGTTTATATACAGAGTGATTCACGGAAACTGCCTGTTTTGTATATCGCGCCAAGCAGCGAGATGTTGTAGGAAAGGGGCATTTCATATGAAAGAGAAGGCCATGAAGTTTTGTGCCCAGCCTTGTCAGCTGCCACTATGCATTTGACAAGAGAGCAGCGTGCGTTTGCTTTCGAGGCGTACTTTCCAATGGCCGTTCCGTTATCACTTTTCAATGAGCATTCCGTCCTCGGTTCCGTATTCGTCCTTCACGTCGGTTTCCTGATCGGAAATCGATTGTTACGTGGGTGAACACATTTAGGGCCAGTTATCTTAAATAAATTTATTACGACTGTCCAAGGACCCCCTACCTTATTTGAAGAACAACATAAGCCAAGCCATCGCCAACATACCCGTCAATATGCTTCAGCGAGTTGAACGGAACTTCAAAAATCTACTAACTGAATGCTATGACAATGGGGTCCGTCATTTGTCCGATTTCGTCTTTTAAACGAAGTGGTACGAAAATTTAGGTAATGTATTTTTTCAATAAAGTTCATATTGTAACAAATCTTTACTAGTCTATTTTTTTATTGAACTTTCAAATCTGGAAGTTTTCGTAAATATCCCTGTATAATTAAGGTGGAGCATGTAAAAGCCGTCTGCCCAGAAGATGAAAGAAACGGCCTTTCACCGGACGGAACTGAAATTCAATATGATAACAATTATAACACCTTGAGTAGAGGTGGAAAAGAATACGATGACCAAACGACAAACAGCAATGTAAAATACATTTTATAACAGGGAATAAATAAATCTAAATCCCGAAGATTATGCCATTATCGCTGAGCATGACGAACGACTTGCCCAGGAATTAACACTCTTACTTGACATGGCCGAAGGCTACCGCCTACAACAAACCATTCCCTTAATGAAGAACCTAGTCGCCTTAATGAATTTTAAAATTAACATTTTAACTCATCAAGGTTTCTTATCATCAATTCACCATATATACATGGGAGCAAGCAGTTTGTCACTTGTGTAAAGCAAAGCTGGTAAAATAATTGTTTTAATATTCTGGAGCTTTAAAAACTTAACTACAAGACAAAATCAAGTAGGATTAAAATAACATACATGCAAGTAAGAAATAAAGATTCAAAAAAAGTTGAGAAAAGGGAACCAAGTTGTACCCGTAACAAACTCGTTTTTATTTTTCTCTATAATATTAAATTGTTAAAAAAATTCTACAGATGAAGCATCAGAATTTCAAACATTAAACGTTTACAGCACACTTTCTGTACAGGATATATTTTCTTAAGCGTTGCGCGTCTACATTACCGTGTCCTGTTGGTTCTCACCCTACCACAATGAAAGTGAGTATATAACTTATATTTATATAACTGATAGACTTGCAAGTCAAATGATCAAAGTGCAAAGGCAAGATCGGTCTCGTAGGTCAACACCCTCTCACTGCTTGCTTCTTTAACTGCAACCGTGCCACGTGAGACGAACGTGGCCAAGGCATCGAAGCGAGCTGTTATTTCATAGGTTAAACATTTTTCAGATTTACAAAAATTGCTAGGAGTAATTTTTAGTGTAATCACTCTTTCTAAATTCAAAATTTTGTTTGCAGGCGTTGGACACTTGGTATTTATTCATCGCTGAAATTTTTGAAAAAGGTAACCTAATGCATAAATCTTCTTTATTTTTTTTATTGTTCTCAGGCTGCATTGAGAGCGGGAAGTTGATTATTTATAGAACAGACAATTTTAGTCAGGCAGTGGGTGCATGACAATTGACAAAAAAAAAAAAACCTTGAAAGTGATTGGCTTCAAGAAATGCAGCACAAAGCTTGGACTGAATTCTGCTTCAAGGTACAGTGGCAGTAAACATTGCGGATTAAATCTCGTCAATCGAGTTTCATCAGGGATTACTTGCGATAAACATCATCGTGTATTCAAAACGTGTAGTTAATTATGCTATTTTTGAGCACAACTTGTAAGCTCCTAATTCTTCAAGACTGCTTGGATTAATTAATTATTCTAGCGCGCACTCGGTTCATCAGAGACAAATATAAAACTTTACAATGACGATCCGAATACGAGCCTGAATTGAAACGGAAGAAAGTAAACCATACCAAGCGAATAAACACAAGTTTAATTCATTTATAGCCCGTTCCCACATACCAGCTTTGTTTATTGTCAGCGTACGCGCTTGCAGAAAAATTTTGCAGGTTAAAATTGGGATTGGATTTACAGCAATACATCGCTGAAACGTGTAACAAAAAAAAAACTGTGTGACACAGCACTGCAATTGCATGACGGCAATGATGACGCGAGCATGTCCGACAGTCCGAGTTCAGCGATGTTCTGAACTGCACCGGGCTGGTCGCTTGAGCTTAGGCTAAGCATTTCCCCAGGCAAAGGCAAAGTGGCAACCGCCAACCACAGGCTCGCTGCATTCAATAAGCTTTTAGAGGAGTTACGTACTTGCGCTAAAAACGCAAAACTTCATGCATCCTAGAAATATATCTGTTGATTGAGTACCATGACCTGAGAATAATTGGTTTTAATTCTATTCCAAAAGCTAGGAAAGGCATATTAATTTGTGTACACTTCATTCAAAGAAAAACGAGCAGGTAAAGCTCACTACTGTAGTTGTAGTGTGAAAGAATGAGTTTAGTGGTAAAAACGTATAAGCGCTTCATGCTAGCAGCTAGGGAAGCAGTAGCGGATGAAATACAATTGAAAGAACTCCATTAAGTATACATAGATTATAATTCATAAATTTGTCCTATCACACGTCATGGATACCTACTAGTCTACTACTTTTGGTTTATAATTTAGGTCCTGTAAATAGCCTGTAATGGGATTCGTATTTTCGAATATATACGTTCTATAATAATAAAATAAATCGTTGTAGCCTATGATACCTAATTTATAAATATACATCGAGATGATAATAACGTAGACTTGACCTTGAGAATATTATAAATAAGAATTGAATCGTAATTGAAGGTAGAGAAGTTGGAAACAAAATGGAAGACATGGCTGCGGATTGCAGTGTTCAAGTACTATAGGCTAATAAGTAATATGCATTATGTTTAGCACTCAAATCCAACGCACTAAAATATCTAATCAGCAATTTGTACTAAATGGGCAATAATTATTTAGGAATGGTATGATTTCCCTGGATAATAAAAAATTCTGTCAATTAACACAGCTCAACACAGAATACAGTTACACTGATGCGTAATGCTGCAGTCGACGCTAGGCGCTTCGAACGCGCCATCCCGGCAACAAGTTGCGTCGTTGGCGGCTATGATTCTACGAACGACCTCGAATTCGCAGGTGGGAGGAACGACGGCGAAGATCCGTTGAATGCTCAGTGACAATATAAAATGCTCGCGAATTTATAACAGAATTTTACTGAAGCTAATTTTAAAAAAATGTACATTAATGACATTTATTAGGTATTCTCAATAACACGCAGTATTAAGAAACAAAGGATGGCGAGGCTCAGTCATTGGATACTTGGACGCCTAATTCTGACAGCAAATAGTAATGCAATAAATATAAACGTTAAATTTCCCGGAATATTGCTGTAAGTTAATAATGCAAAAAACTGACAATAAATGCTCATTTCACATCTATAGCCGTCGATATTTCAGCACTAGTGTCACAAATTAACAAAAGCGTTGAAATAATGGGAGGACGAACCACAACCTCACTCGACCAGCACCAACCTCACAATGCCTGCCGCAGTGCCGCGGAGCGGGAGTGCGTGAGTTCTGCTAAACTCTGATGCGAGAATCCTTATAAAATGCAAGGTTGTGGCGTTGAGAGAAACTAAACTTGGCTTATCTGAAGTTCCTCGGCTATAACGAAAAAAGTCGATCACTACATACGAGCTGAAACTTCAGGGATGTACAAAAATTTTAACAGCATAGAACTTGACTTGAGGGCATCAAGAACTTAACGATTAATTTTTCTCATCTGAATTAGAATCTGGAATTAATACCTACTACCGTAGGGAAAAGTTGTTCTGTATTCAGGATGAAAATTATTTCTTGCTACTATTTTTTACCTACAATTGTTCACTAGTCAAACTCGCGTAATCTCGGTTAATTATACTGAATTATCTTCATAAACAAATTGTCTCAACACGTTTTATGATATTTTTCCATGTCCAGTGATTCCACGTCAATTAACATAAGTCATTGAAAAATAATATGTACGGCGCAAAAGAGCTAAAATTGATTAAAATAACTTGTAAGAATGTCTGCAATTTGAAACTCTTTATCGAATTGCTTTTAGTTCAAGGGCTCGTCGTCGGTAACTGTTGACGTCATGAACGTCGGCCTTCACTGATAAAGACGCAATTTCTGTGGCGATCATAGTAGACGTATTTTCAAGTTAAATATTGACTTTATACGAGTTGATTCAAATTTTGACTTCGCACAAATTTCTTTGCTGCAGACAGCAGAAGCTCAAATATCGAGGCGTAATTTGTCAACTGGTGCATAGAACAGAAAAAAACTGAAATATTTGGAACTGTCAACGAATTTGAATGATCTAAAGATAACATGGGATTCACAGTGCATTATCCTATTGATAATCGAATTAAATAATATAACGAATTGGATTAGACTAAAAATTGTTAAATTATGGATCGGATTGCAATACGCTCGTGAATGAAATTTAAGGAGTGGTAACAAGGAAGAATGTGTACAACTGTAACTCACTTGAGATAAGGGAGAAGAAGGAAGAGATTGGGCGTGGACAATGATAGGGCTAATTTTTCTTTCATGTGTAAATTTGGAGGTCATGGTTCGTTTAAACACAATATTACAGGTTTAATTTCTAACTAATGCACTTGAAGAAGACTTATATTTATCATA